GTGAGTGCACACCAAAATGGCCTCAGGAATAACACTTCAGTCCAACCCCAAGGTGTTAAACACACACAAAATCACCTTCCTCTGCAGTGATTCGAGTGACACAAGGGACACTCCACCCTCGGGGAAAGAAGAAACGGCCGCAAAGACGGAGAAGAGCGATGCGAGCTTCAGCAAAGAGAGTAACAGGTTCCTTCTCTTAACTTCTCCAGAATGTTTTCTGCAGAAGCATTTGTCAGGGAGCACCTGTGCAGGAGGGCTAGTGAAGAGCAGAGAAGTGCTGAAGTTGCACATAGTGCAGTTGTTGTGAAAGGCAGTGCAGGCACAGCAAGGAAGGAGGACCATTGCACAACCAGGACCCAGCCAGCAAGGACAGGGGGACACTAAACTGCTTATTAAACAATTCTCACCAGGTTTGCCCAAGCATCCTCAGGGGATATGTAAAGATCTGAACCACTCTTGAGGCAGGTGCACACCAAGCTATTGCACCAGTTACACTGGCTTTTGCTACGGGGCACAGGGATGGCTTAGCATAACAGGCTGGCAAATGCACTCACAGTTTCTCCATCCTCAGTTGCTCCCAGTCCTTTGCCCCTCTTTCACTCAGTCTTTTTGTTGCAGCAGGATTCCCAAAAAGAGTTTTGTTGAGGTTACTGAGCTAACAGACATCAACTATACCAGTAACTTGGTGCGCCTGAGGCCAGGGCACATGAACGTCGTCTTGATCCTGTCCAACTCCACCAAAACCCCCCTGCTCCAGAAGTTCGCCCTAGAAGTCTACATGTTCACAGGGTAGGCTGGGCCCTCTCCCGGGCTTCTGTTGCTGTATTAACCACTTGGGTGATGCTGCTCTGATGATATGGGAGGAGCATGGTTGGCTCCGTTGCCAGGAGTGAACACTTCTGGTGAGCAAAGCAGCCTCTGCCATTATCAGTGGCAATGAGCCACCAAAAAGCAAGAGGCTGTTTCTAGCCAGACTTGGTGATGGTGGCCAAAGGCATCGGGTGCTGGTGGCACTTTGGCTGTACCTGTGTTTTGACAAATAGAAAGGACAACAGTGCTGTATACACTGAGCTGAAAAAGGAGATGCGATGACATAGCACTGCCCTGCCCGTGTTGACAATTCCTTACGTGTCCAGTAGGAGTCCAGCAGACCCAGAACATGTGCTAATCCCAGTGTCTTCTCTGCTCTTCCCCCAGGAGCAGCTCTCTTCACTTCTCCTTCCTTAGCCTGGACAAGCACCGAGAGTGGCTGGAGTATCTGCTGGAGTTTGCACAGGATGCAGCCCCCATCCCAAACCAGTATGACAAGCATTTCCTCGAGCGTGACTACACGGGCTATGTCCTGGCTCTGAACGGCCACAAGAAATACTTCTGCCTCTTTAAGCCTCACAGATCAGGGGACGAGGGGGGAACCCTGGGATTGTGCGAGGATTACGATGCTTTACAACATGCGGAAGCCAGAGGGAAATCCTCCTGCAGCCCAGGATCTAGATCCATTAAAAACAAATTACACAAATTGTCCTTTTGGATGGAACGCCTTCTAGAGGGTTCCTTACAGAGGTTCTATATCCCCTCATGGCCTGCACTAGACTGAGGAATTTTACAGAGATTCTAAGGGGACAAACTTTTTATGAAGATGACAAGGGACAGCTCTTTCCAGGAAAACTCAAACAAGCGTGATGAATGGACCTTAGGTTTTAGACAAACTCTCCTGGGGCCGGCAACTAAAACACACCTGCTGCGTGCGGAGCGCGGGAGCGCAGCCAGGCACACCCACGTGCCCCCGCCGCGCGTTTGGACGCTGTACAACCGAAGAGCCAAGAAGTCTGTTCTGCCCCTCTCGTCCTGCCACGTCTGCTTCCCCCCCATCCCACCTCTTGTTTTACCTTGATTGAAGAAATCCGTGACTTCCCTGGGTCCGGACCAGCTGCGGCCGGTGATGCAGGCCGGGTCCCGGTACTCCCTCCCCGTCCCCGTGTGCTTAGCCCATGGTGCATGGTGTAACTCTGGCAAGACCCTGCAGACCCTCCAGGCCCTGCCCTTCTGAAACGCCTCCTCCCACCAGGCAGTCATTCTCTCTCGACTTTCCCCATGGTAAGTGATGGAGAATCTAGTCAGGAGCATCTTCCTTGAAGCAAACCTTAGCTGGGACCCCCCCCGTGGTGTGGGCTCGTGGGCGATCTGCATGTTTCATGCTCCTCGTGTCATGGTTCCACCTGCAGCTTCACTGGCTGAACCATAACAGGGAGGGAAAGGGCACGGCCATAAAATACTGTCAAAGTGTTGAGTCATTTAAATGTCACATTGATTTTTCAGATGCCTTTTCTGCTTCTATCGATTTTAGACGATGTATCCTAGAGCCATAACTTTACCTGCGTCCTCAGATTGTAGGCGTGAGCTGCTATGAGCCAGTAGATGTGTAAAACTACGTAGCTGCCAGGGAGTCACCCAGGCTCCTTGCAAACACCTTTCCAGCTGTAGTACAAACCAACCTTCCTTTGTATTGAGGAACCTCATCCTTCAACGATTGTATTCTTGAAACCTTGCCCCAGAAGTGCTGTATCATGAGACTGTTGCGTGCGTGTGAAGCTCCTTTGGTTTAGTCAGGGGTTGAGATGTTGGGTTTCAGCCTCTCACCCATTTCCTTCTTACCCCAAACCTCCATTTCTGCACACTCAGGCTGCTCCCGTGGCTTTGTGTTTGTTTGCTTGGGTATTTCTTCCATCTTTTGGAAGCATTGGGGGTGTGTGAGGTTAGAGCAGCTGCACAGCTCTGGGCTGGGACGTTCCTTTGCTGTAGCAGTGCCCCAGCAGCCACTTCCAACACCACAGGGAAAGGCTGCCTCTGGATAAGGCAGAGGGAGGACAAGCAGCAGCCTCGTGGCTGCTTAACACTCCTCGAGTGACCAAGCAAGGCAGCAGGGCTTCTCTTCGTGGCAAGGACTGAAACCCTGTGAGGTTTGTCCTTCCTTTACACTGCTCTGGGGCTCACACTGGCACCCAGGCCTCCTCCTTCCGTGCATCAGGAGCCCTGTGGCACCATCAGGCCAAAGCACAAGGATGGGGGCCAGTGGCTTTTGCCACAGGGCTTGGAACACAGAGCACTCAGTGAACACATGGTGTTAATTCCAGACTCAGCCCTTGCCACCTTAGTTACCATGTTAGCAGAGCAGCCAGTCAGTAGGAATAACTGCCAACCCCTGAGCGAGCTGCTGATCCCACAGAAGCCAGGAATGCTCCAGTCATTGCACTCCCTACATGCCCTAATTGCTCCCAAAGCCTTGCCTCATTGCATCTCCCCATCCTGGGAGCAGACTGGCATGCTCTGACCCCCACAGGTACCTCAGATCCCCTATAAAACGTGCTTCAAATAAAGGCTGGGACGCTGCAAACGATCCCTACATGAGGTTAGTTAATTCCAGCCCAGTGCACCCTGGGCTTGGAATGGGGCACTAAAGTAGAGGGAAGGAAGGTGAGGACTTCCCCCTGCCCAGGAGCTCCTGTGAAGGCACACAGGCAGCACTGACAGAGAGCAGAGAGGGAGCCACCTGATGCTTCTGGACTTCATTTCCACCTGGCTGGAGCAATCACCGCAGCACTCCTGCACTTTTCCACAGCTCACCATGCAGGATGTGGCTGGAATAGTTTTTTGCCCAGCAGAAAGCTCCACATAATGTCTTAAACATTTGCAGTAGCAGAAGAATGCTCTCTGGATCTCTGCTGTTTCTTAAGCTGATCAGAAACAAGGAGAAAACCCTCAACTCATGGAAAAAAAGTGCCTAGTATGCTGCAGTGAGGGAATTCAGCCCAACCCTGAGGAAGGGGAGAAGGCTTTATAGCCTTCACATCCATTGTGTGTGTTGCACGCTGCCAGAATCCTTGGATTTATTTTCTTTTTTTGCACAGCTTTTTTAACTTCCCCTTTCAGCCAGGGTTCAGCTGAGTGAGTGCTTGCATCAGTCCACCTGTGCTGGCTGCAGCTGGACAGGAGCACAGCTCCTGGATTTTTTTATGGAAATTTTGCCTGAGTTGAAGCAAAAGCCAAGCTGCTCTGCCCCTGGTTTAGCTGGCTGCAGTGCCAGCGTGGCACTCTGGGTGTTTGCTGCCTTGAGACCACGGTCAGAGCTGCTTATCCCGGGATCTGCCCTCTCCCAGCAGCCCTGAGCCATCACCCCATCATTTTCTAAACACCTGTGACTCTGTTTCACACACGGTGATTCCTAATCCAAAGATTGAGGAGATTGGGTCCTAGTGCACTTTCCTATGAGACCTGAGTGATGGCACATGCTCAGAGCTGAGGCAAAGGGATACAGGCCCCAGAGGGAAGGTTGTTCCCAAACTCCTCCCTGTCCCTGTTCCTGTCCCTGTCCTTCACCCACAGCAACCAGGAGCCAGGACACGAGCGCAGCCTGACAAGTAGGACTGAGAACTAGGTACCTATTTTGCACTTTTGATACTGGGAGGGGGGGGAATTAACTTATTTGGCAAAGTTGTCTTTTTTATTTTTGGGGGGTTTTGTTTTGTTTTTGTATTTGTGAACAGGCACTGATGTCATTTTGTTTTAAGACAATTAACAGTTTCGCAACCAAAATAAACTATTTTAATGTGTGATGAGGTGGCTTTGTGTCTCCATGTACAAACTAACCTCACCTCCATGTCGTCTCAGAAATTTCAGGTGAGTTAAACTACTCCTGACACAGGAAATTCCTGGTTATTCCACTAGCAGGCATTCTAGTCAAATATCTCCCTACTCTCAGCAGGAAGCTCAGGCCCCCTTCATATCCTCCCTTCTACATTCATTGTCCTGTTGCAACATCCTAATGAGATAAACCTTTTACCAGTGACAGTTTTTCCAGGAGCCCTGTGAGCTATGTGAATCATTCCAAAGGCAAAATGGCATTAGCCTCATCTATCCCTTTCCCAGGGCAGCTCCAAAGTTCCAGACCCCAGTTAAATGGAGTGTCTAGCCTGTTCCCTACAGTTTCCCAGCTAAAAAGTACCTTTTCTAGTGGTAAATGGCATTTATTTCATGCTGCAAAGCCCATGCTGGCTGAAGGGAAGGGGACATGGAAAGCCTGGCTGAGGACATGGAGTTGTGTTTGCCCCAGGGCAGGTGGGAACTGCCCTCACAGTGTCTTCACTCCTGGGAGGACACACAGCATCTCAAACAGTAGGTTTGCCCCCAGGAGGGCTGTATTGCCTAAAAATAACAAGACAAAAAAAGGAAATCTGTGTATATCCAAGCTCTCACCCACAGCCACCTGTGCCAGGTGCTTGTCTTGCCCTCGGGCACCTTCAGACTCACCAGAGACATCGTACATTGGTGCGACTTCCACAAGGTCACACCCCACTATGTTCAGACCTTTGCAGCCACGAATAATCTCCAAAGCCTAGGGAAAAAATGGATTTGGGATCAAGAAACACATCTGACCTCGGAGACCGGCCTGGGCTCTGCTTTCCCCATCCTTATCACTATGAGGAAACACTTCCTGGCCTCCCTAAAGTTCCACTCTGCTGTGCTGGTGAAACGACCTCCTTTAAAGGGAGCACAAGAGCCTTTCTCGCGGGCCAGGGCAGCGTGTCCCCTCACCTGCGCAGGTGTGAGCCCGGCTATCTCCGGCGTGCCGGTGCCCGGGGCGTAGGCGGGGTCCAGCCCATCGATGTCGAAGCTGATGTACATTGGCTTGTCCCCCATCTGCGCCCTCACCTCCCTCATCAGCGGCTCCAGGGACCTCATCCAGCACTCCTCAGCTGGGACCACCCGGAAACCCTGCGGGAGCACAGACACACAGGCACCTGCTTAGGAAAAGAGGGGAGATGAGGAGCATGCCCTGCCCTGCTGGGGAATATCTACAGGGAACAATCCTCGTTCTGCGAAGCTGCAGAAGTGCACCTGTGTCCTAGGTTATAATATTGGGGTGTATTCCATTACCACCTCGAGCTGCAATCCCTTTCCTTATCTCGTGACTCAGAGATAAGTCCCTCCAGGAGGACCTGTTCTTTTAGCTACATGACTGATAAGATCACAGCATTCTGTTGTGAGATGCTCCGGCCAGAGGAAGGAGCCAAACGATGCCATCAAGGATATAAGGGGGGTTGTGCAGACAGCAAATAAATCCCCTCTTCCAAGAGGAACAGCTGAGACCTTCTCTACACTGGACCTCCAGAGGGAAACTACATCAGTCTACAGGAGCACTGCTTGGACAGAACCATATCTGCTACCACCGCCCAGCCAGCCAGCGTCAGGTTGTATCCCAAACTCTGTCAGTGGTTCTTCTTTTGTACTATTGTATATATTTGGTTCTTTATTCCCTTTCCCTAATAAATTGTATTTCTGACTTAGAGCCTCTCACTGGTTTTGCTTTTCAAACCAAGACAACCTGGAAACACCTTCCACTCCCCCAACACGCTTTCTAACTACACTCAGCTGACACAGTGAGCCGGGAGTGCTTCTGCAGACAAGCTGCTGGCATGGAACAAGAGGCAAGAAAAGGAATTAATTTCCATGCTGGAGCCAAGTAAATAGTACTGACATGGTATTTATGGCAGGGCGAGCACGCGGCGCTCGGCTGCGGATCATTTACCTGCTCCCGGCAGTACTGGTGGGGATCAGGGTCATAGGAGGAGCCTCGGATGCCGATCTGCACCACGCGGCCGCGGTCCAGCAGCCCTTCCTCCACGCAACGCCGGAACGGGCTCCCGTGGTAGATCTTCTCCCCCAGAGCCACGTCCCCGGTGTCGGTGTGAGCGTCCACGTGCACCAGGCCCACGGGACCGTGCCTGGTCGAGACAGGGTGGCCACCACGCTAGTCCTGTCCCGGGCGTGGTGGCCCTGCCAACAGCAGGGACAGCAAACCAGGACCTTGCTGAGGCTCTTTACCAGGTCCTTTCTCTCCAAGTCCAGATTAGAAACTTACTTTGCCGCCAGGGCCTGCAGGATTGGGTATGTTATGGTGTGATCTCCACCTGCAAGAGGCCACAGGGAAGAGGGGGAATACACTACAGGAGCTGCTCAGTGCTCATTACTTTTCGTCCCAAGTAATATTTTCCCTCTTTGCATTTATCCTGCACTTATTTATGCAGGGCTTCATTGCCAAAGGAAAACTAACACTCCCATGTACAGGTTGCTTCCTCTCCTGGGTCTTTTCTTCTCTTGGTCTTCCTTCTAGGAAGGACCAGATATGCAGGACTGCCAGCAGGGATGGCCTGTGGAGCAGGACCCTTGATTGGGCTTATAAATAGACAGCTGAATAGATCAGCCTGAGGACAATCTAACTGGTGACTTGCCCCTCGTTACTCCACACACTCACTGCCTTCAGTGATGCCAAGCAGTAACAGCTGCAAACTTCAACATGCACCCAAATCAGGTGTCAGGCAAAGCCTGATGCTCACTCAGCTGGAGGGACACAAGGGACAAACCCTGCTCTTGCTTTGGGTCCTGCTCAACAGGACACCAAAAACACGTCACTGGTTTTATTTACAGACTGACCCATCCTCCTCATTTTTGACCCAAAGGAAGGAACATCACAGAATATTCTGAAATGAATGTTCACAGAGAGCCTGTGAATTTGCCCATCATACAACACAACAGCCCAGGCAGGGGACGGATCTATCTCTTGCCTTCTGCCAAGCCTGGATTGAATGACGGGAGGAGTAGAGCGAGTTTGACGGAGCCAGGACGCAGTGGCAGCACAGGGAGACACGGGCTCCTTACCCAAGGTGAGGGGCACACAGCCGGAGGCCACGATCTCCCGGTAGGACTCCCGGATGAGGCGGCAGCTGTCGGGCAGGTTGTAGAGGTTCACGTTCACGTCCCCGATGTCAGCCACCCGCAGGGAGTCGAAGGGCGCCGCCCCGGTGCTGCCGTTGTACCTCCTCACCATCGCCGACTCGGCGCGGATCTGGCGCGGGCCGAACCTGGGCGATGCCATGGCTGGGAAACCAGCAGGCATTGATTGTTGCCAGCACCCCTCTCAGCACAGGAGAGCCGTGCCTGACGGCCAGAGGGAAGCACGAGCTTTCCCAGGCTGGCCCTTACCTGGCTCCCGGCCGGTTGGACGTGCCTGTGTCCAGCGGGACACCGACAAACGCCACGTCCAGTCCCTCCGCAGACCCCTGCACTGGAAGCCTCATCATGGAGCAGACCCCCACAGGCCGGGCCACGAGCAGGGCACTGGGGGGCACGTTGACCTGCGAGCTCCAGCAGCTGGGGGCTCTGCTCCCTGGGACCAGGGGCTGGAGGAACCCTGCAGACACACTGGCTGGGGAGCTGGAGGCAGCCAGAAGGGCCGGAGGCTGCAGGCTGTGGTGTGATGCAGTCACCACAGTGGTCACAGCTGGCTTGGGAGCACAGAGCCCAGCTCCCCGGGGCAGCAGCTGGCTGCAGGCAGCCCAGAGCAGAGGCCTCATCCTGACCCACACACTCCCACCCTCTCTCCCACTGGGAATGCAGCGAGGTGTGCTGTGGAGCCCGTTCCCAGCTTGGGCAGAGCACCAGCTGTCTCTGCCAAGCCTCCGTCCAGGGATCAAAGTGCACCAGACACTCCACTGCCCGGGGAAGGGCAGGAATCCAGCCCAGCCTCCACATTCAGCCTCCCAGCCACCCCCTTTCCCAATGGAAGAGTCCTGGCAAACACTGGGAACAAACACAGCAGTGAGGGGCAAGAGCCTGTGCAGGGATTAGTGGGACAGGGTGAGAGGGACATGCTGGAAGATGTCCCAGTTTGCTCCCCTTGGGCATTTGCAGACAGACAGCATGGCAGCATTTGTTGCATTAACAGCCTGTACTTTTAACCTGCGCTCCACAAAAGCACCCAGAATGCTGAAAAATCATAAAAATGTCTCATTAGCAGAAGGCAGAAGGGAAAGAAAACAAAAGGGAAGTCTGACCACAGCAGAACCACGGGGAGGACAAAATGCAAGCAACAGAGGAAGCATTAACAGGGATTTAAGGACCACAGGGACAAGCTGCTGGACAAGCACTTTAGACCATTTTTGAGGACAGAATTGAAACAGTTTCCAGGGAAAGCAAGTTTCCAATGAGTGGAGTTCATTAGTGTAGATAAAACCCTGGTTGGGAAAATACAAGCACACTTGATACTGGATGGCTCCAGCCCCTAATTCTGCTCCCTACTTGTATAGAGACTGAACCTGGGAGAGAGAGGGAAGGCACAGGAACGATGTTCATGGCAGAAAGAGGGCTTAGAGATCCACCACACAGCAACAGCATTTACTCCTCAAAAGGCTCCACAGAGTGTCCAGGGTATCCATGCCAGACCTAGGCACACACAAAGCAAAGGCAGCAGAAACATACTGCAATAGCTCAGTAATGTAAGAAAGAGCAGCACACACTTTGCTTGGGTCAGATCAATGTTACAAAGGTCTTTTTTTGCAGCTTTCTCCCCCAAAAGCTCATTTCCCCCGATTCCTCAGGCTCTGTGCTCTTTGCTGCACCGGAACAATGTGCAGAACCCTGAGTGCAGGTTACCCTGTGATGATTAGGGGTATCAGCCACTGTTATCCACCTGGAAACTGCAGGAGCAGACAGTGATTTATCATGCAGGAGAGTAGGAAGCACATCCCCACGGCAAGGTCTGTTCCTCTTTGGGAAATTCCCCTTGGAGTAGAACACCGTGTTCCACAGTTAGCACTGGAAAGAGCTGAATTCGTGTTTAAGACACCCTGGAACCAATGCTCCACAGCCCAAATTGGATTGAGAGAACCCACACAGCCACAGCCACATTAAATCTTTAATTTATTGTGCAACAAACATAAATAACTTTCTCCAAGTTCCTCTAAACACAATTATAGCCATGAAATTGAATGCTGTTTCATAAACATGGCTGTTGTTATTTAAAGATTGATGTTGCCATCCTCTCCAGCAAAAGAGATTATTTCATTGAAGCAAACGCAGGTAACAGAGCAGAGCATCACACTAAGCTCTTCAAGCAGGGGCTACTGCCCAACCTCACTTTGTTTGGAGCAAAGCACCAGCACCTAACTGGAGAGTCTGACTCAGCCTTGGACCCTGGGGCAGCCACCAGCACAGAGCTACAACAGTTAAGAACAACGATAAGCGTGATTTGAGGATGATGTGCTTCCACTATCCTGCGTACAACTGCGAGGTTTTTAGTGCTGCTGACGTTCACGTTACCAGGCAGCACCTCATCAGGAAGTTTTCAGGCTGTCATTTCACAGCTCAGAAGAAAAATGAGTTTCAAACCACCCTGGTTACCTCAAGAACAGAGACTGCAGGTCCCTTTGTCAGCTTGGATTTCTGTGTGTTGCTTAAATTGTGATGTTTCTCTGTAAAATGCCTCCTCCCAGTCATCCCTCTGAAAGGAATCTGCTTCACTCAACACACAACTTACAAGTCAATTAATTCCCAAACGGGAGCAAAACCAACCACATACCTCTGGACACCTGCAAGGTCCACACTCCCTCCCCTCCACAGGGTAAGGAAGCAAGGGCATCTCCTCTAGCAGGGACAGAAAAGCAGCGTGGTTAACACTTGCTAGAGAGAAACTCAAGCTCCTAAACACAGGCCTGCAGTTTGTTCCCTAAAGCACTACAAGACTGCAGACAAGACAGAAAGGACAGGTTCCTATGTGCCTTTAGAAAGTGCCATTTATGCAGGATGCCAGTGTTCCAGGTGATTCCTTCACCCAGATTGACTTCTCCAGGCCAGCAACAGGAATATTGCTGCCCAGAGGTCTTCAAACTCGAGGTTTGCCAAGAAGCACATCTTCATTTTGGTTTCTACCTGGCTCTTCTCCGCCAGCCTGTTGGTGAGCAGGGTGGCTGCAGACTGGCAGAGCAGCCAGGCAATCATCTGGTCAGGTTTCAGGGTCCTGGATGCCACAACACTGTCACCCCAGAGGCTCAGGTGCAGCACGTTTGCAGCCACTCTCGCAGACAACCTCTGCAAGAGGAAGGGGAGGGGAGATTAGCTGATCCTGCTGCACTCGGCCACATCACCAGCACGGAGCATTGGCACCTCCCAAACTCCCTGGGGCCCCACCTAAGGCAACACCCTGTGAATTTGAAAGCTCTTTGAGACTCTTATTATATATATATAATGTTGTGTGTAACCCTCCAATGTGAGGTCCGGTCCCAACACAAACATCTCCTGAAATGATTCATCACTCAGCAAAGACTTCCTTGGCTTTGATCCTTATGTTGTCCTTTGATCCTGCAGTGCGATCTGGACTAACCCCTGCACCCACAGCCCTCCAAGGCAAAATGACCCACCAGGGATACTCCCAAAGAGGATGTCTTGAAGGCAACAGCCTCTTACCTTGTTGGGATCTCTCTGAAGCAACATCTTTATCACCTGCTTCACCTCGAGGGGCACGTGCTTGGGCAGGCTTGGCAGCTGCTCCTCCCGGTAACTTCTGCTTTCCAGACTGGAGTCCCCGTGGCCATAGAAAGGATTGGCCAGGCCCAGGATTTCATAGGCAATCGCTCCAACAGCCCAAGCATCAGCTTTACTGTAGTTGATCACCGTGCCTGGACCAGGTGAGGCTGTGATCACCTGCCACAGAGAGGGGGCTACTCAAATAAACAGCTTGAGTGCAGCCTCTGTGCTGAAATTCCATTTTTAATGCTCAAACATGCATGTTCCATGTAATAAACTTGGACACTGAACCCAAGGTTGGGTTGCATCTGAATCTGTAAATATTCCCTACTGACATGCTCAAAGCCTCTGGCACTGCTCAGCCCACTGGGATGCTGGGAGGAGTTTGAACATTGCACTGAGGCTTTAGCTGTTGCCCCTGATCAGCATTCCCAGAGTTCCAAGGGCTATCTCCTGCTGGAATTATGGAGACAGGAGGCCTGCAGATGAAAAACCAACACTACAGCAAGGTGCTCCAGGTTCAGCAGACAGTTAAGGGTGTCTAGGGCCTTTATTATTTCTTATCATCAAATAAATAAAAAGGAACTGTAAATAATTTTGCAACCACCTTGAACTTCAGCCAAAAGCTACTGTTGCAACACAAGGACTGTTGCATAAAATTCTTAATAGTGACATGGAAAAGGACCTGAATAAAGACTAAAGAGTAAATTTGGGTGTGGGGGGAAGCTGATTCTACCACTTAACACCAACAGATTATGTTCCACCTGTTAGAGCCCAAGGTGTCTGACACAGTTCAGCACAGATGTTCACCAAGCCTAACTCAAGGTAGGACACAAACCACAAAACTTTTAGCCCCAACAGCAGGACAAGCAGAAAACCAGCATCACAAAGCACTGCTACAGAGGGATTTACCTCAGGTGCCATAAGGCAGCCGTTGCCACCCCGATCCACGTAGGAGCTGGTGAAGGGCAGCCTCAGGCCAACGTTTTCATCTGCCAAACAGCAGCCAAAGTCGGTGATGACCAGCCAGGGGCAGCCAGCTGTGAACAACACAAGAGCTGCCAGAGTTAGGGTTCAGTTTGGGAGGACCTGGCAGGACAAACACCACATCACATCAACACCCACCTTGGTGTCCCCTGCAAACTGACTGAGGGGGCATTCGATCCCCTCTTCAACACTGTGGGAGAAGACATTCAGTAGAGTAACCTCGTCTAGTGGGAGGTGTCCCTGTCCGTGGCAGGGGGGGTGGAATGAGAAGAGTTTTAAGGTCCCTTCCAGCCCTGGCCATTCCATGATTTTATGATTCTAAATCCTGAGCCCTGGGGAACAGAGAATCCTCTGTCGCCTCTTGGGCTGGTCTCCAGGAAAGCAGAGTAGATTCCAGTGGTCTCTGCATCTCCCTCCCTGATACTCTTCAGCCAAATTCTTTCACTCCTAATCACACAGACCTGCCTGCCTCCTATTGTTCCTCCCAATTTGAATCTCAATCACACCAAAAAAGAGCTCAGGTAATTAAAACTGCTGTTAGAGGCTGACAGGAGAAGACGTTGCTGAAAATACTGCATGTCTTCCCTCCCAGCCCATGTTTCATCATTCCATGGTGCAGCACTATTAACCTGGCCATGGGGTGGGATTTTAAGAGGCTCCCTGTACTCTTTGACTTGGGAAGGAAGACAGAGCCAAGAGCCTGAAGCAAAAACTCCTGCAGCACCCCAAATGTGGTGTTCCCGGATGCTCCAGTCAATGCTGACTGTGCTCACACAATCCATCATCTCAGCAATACACTGTGTCCATGTTAATGATCCAAAACCTCAGGCAGACAGGATCAATGACTTGCTGCAGTCACAGCAAATACTAAGCTAAAAACTAAACCTGAGATTATTCAAGAGGTTTGATGCTTCTTTCCCCAAACACGAAGCTGGGTGATGTTCCCCGAATACCAATGTGACCGAATCACTTCTGTGAATTAACTGGCATCTATCCTCAGGGATCTATGTACCAGAATCAAATTCAACGAGGATGTTGTCAGACTTGAGGTCTCTGTGTGCTATTCCATGTCGAACAAGGTGGTCCACGCCTTCCAAGAGCTGCAGAATCATCACTGTGGAGAGGCGAACATCCGGAGTGTTCTCCTGCAGATACTGGCGCAGCGTGAAGGGGTAGCTAGGCAGAACAAGGGAAAAAAAAAATGGGAATTAGCATCCTGGAGGCTTATCACTGGCAGTTCAACCTCATTACTGATTCTACTCCATCTCTAGCAGTGTGCTCAGATTAGGGGCGAAGTTCAG